GGTGTTTCAAACTATCAATAATGAACTATTTTGTATTTGTGCTTTATGTTGCTCTTTTGTTGAACTTTATCTAGGGTTTAGGGTTTAATATATATGAGCTTTTTATGCGCTTTAGGTGTCATTTATGTGCGCTTTGTGTGCGTTTTTCTTGTGTTTTATGTACGCTTTTCTTGTGCTTTATGTGCGCTTTTATTAAGCTTGACTTATTTTTATTGCTTTTTCAGATGTTTTATCAATGGCCTGTTACTTATCATTGTTACATAACCACTTTCAGAGCTATTTGTGATGCCTTTAATGAGATTATAGACGAAGAAATTCATGACATGTTGAAGACCTTGCACATTCATCAGTTTTAAGTTTCCACCATTCTAGCAATGTATACCTATTTTATATGAGATTTTGAAATTTTGGAATGCTTCGGATGAAGGCTTCATTATAAATGGTATTTTGCTCAAATTTACTTCTAATGAGGTGGCTCTACTTACAGGTTTGATTTAAAATATGACTTTTTGATATATTTTTTAATTTTGCAAATATTTAATCTAATTAAACCAAAATATTCTCACAGGATTGCCCAACAGCGATATTCATATCAATTGGAAGAACGCGCCACTCTTAGGAATTCTCTCAACTGATATAAAACCTTAAATGGCAAAATTAAGTACAACAACAAACAATGCAACAAAGATAAAGACTTTTATTTCATTTTTAATTTCTAATTTATTTTAGCCCCTAAATAACCATAAAATCCTTAGGAGGCTCATGTTTATCGCAAGTAATGTAGATGAGTTCTCTTCTATTAATTGGGCAGCAAGTATTAGTGATTTTATGGTTCATGAATACAATATAATTTCAAATAAGCTTGCAATAGAGAAACCCTGGGGTTATATCAATGGTTTTTTATCTGTCATGATAATAAGTCAAATGCATTTTATAATTTATATATTTGTGATTTTATTTACATAAGGTTGTTTTATGTATTGTTCTATACAGATATTGTTCTTGGAACACTTCTCCATGAATAAATCGAGCAATCCAGAATTAAGACCACATTTTTTGAGATGGGAGGGGAATACGAATATTTTCTATACACTTACTATTGCAATGAATTTATTTAAATTTTTAAAGAAAAATGAGGTACGTTTAAGATTAAATTTAATCTGCCATTACTTTTAATATGGAAATTAACTAGCAAAAAATGAAGTATACTGCGATTATGAAGGAAAGATAAAGCGCATATAAAGCGCAAATAAAGCACGCATTAAGCGCACGTAAAGCGCAATAAAAGCGCACATAAAGCTCAATAAAAGCGCACATAAATCCCAACAAAAGCACATGAAAAGCTGATATAAGTAGCATTTGAAGTGCATTTTTTGTAATATTTTTGTTAAATTATGTGTAGATTTTTCTTGTTCTACTTGATGTAAATGTGGAAGCTAAAAATTTGAACGCTGACATAAACGCCATTCAAAATTTCAAGATTCCACCACATCAAGATCCCCACAAACTCCATTCTCCACTTCAAAGTACTCCCTATGCTCCACAATAAGAACTCCCTAAATCTACTATTGAACCTTCTACTCATCAACCACAACATAAAGGTGAAGATTGGGCTTCTATACATAAAAAATTACTTAAAGCAATAGAAAAAATGTGAAATAAAATTGAAGATAATTTGGGCTTAAGGATTGATCGAATTGAAGACAATTTAGAGAAACTTGAAGCGACTGTTAATTCTCTACAATACAAATTTATCCATGATATTGCCCTATGTCAATATGATCCAGACAAACCTTCAATATATTCATCTTTTTCAAGTATCAAATCTGTTCAGAAACCCAAAACTTCCCTTAAAAAAGTTGTTGCTCTACAACCACCCAACACATCTACAGTTGAACCGCCAATTATAGAAGCTGTTCCACCACAAATTACTACAGAGGATGATCCACGACCACCCACTTCAGAAGTAATTCCACAGCAAACTAGTGAAATTCCAGCCAGAACTCTCATGGAAATCATCAAGTATGAACCACATAAACTTAAAAAAAAAAAAAAAAACTATGAGAGATCGGTGAAACCAATGTCGAGCAAAGAATTGATTTCAATGGATAAGATAAAAGTACCACCTCGCCCTGCGTATATCAATATGGAATATCCCGAAAAGGATTTCCTAAGTCAAGAACAACAAATATTCATGAATGAATGCTTAAAAAAGTTTAGATTTAAGTAAGTTATATTATGATTTTATTGCATTTTTCATGCACTTTTTTTGCGCTTTTTATGTGCTTTCTTTTATTATGCTTTTCATGCGCTTTTATTGCATTTTTCATGCGCTTTTTAATAGCTTTAATTTTTTTTCAGGGATGATGTTATTTTTTCATCTAGTAACATATCAATTACGAGAGCTAATATTTTCACCAATAATTAAGTATAAGTTTTTAGTCATTTCTTTCATTGATGCAAGAATGTTTTTCAGTCATTTCTTTTATTGATGCAATAATGTACTCATCTCCCTCCTCATTCCCTTGAGCTTGTGTGCTTAATTGATATGCAAATCTGCTCACTTGATTTCTGAATATGACTCTGTTACCACCTTCAAAGTTATTATTTCTTGTAGCATTGCCCTAGTTACTTGCATAAATATATTTTCGAGCCCTTGCTGACCATCGCAATAGTAGGTACTTCTCAAGGATTTTAGCAATATCCAACTATCTCAAACCCCTCATACAGTGAGAACACAATAATCCCATGGTATCAAACTTCCTACAGCTGCATTAAATGCCACCTTCTATTACATCAAAGTCAAGCACCCAATGATGACGTTGGTCCATATTCTCTATGTAGTTGACTAGAAATTTTGAAGTATCAATCGAGATGAAGTCTATACTCATTCCTACCACACCCTGTATAAATTTTTCCTCAAAAAATAAATATAGTTTTCTTGAGTAAAATCAAGCAGTTTCCTTTAATATTGAGCTGGTCCTTATTATAGGAACCATTTCAGACTGACTGCATTTGTACTCATCATCTTACTCATTTTGCCGCTAATTCATCAGTATATTTTCTAAACCAAAAAAATAATCAGTTAACAAACTTGTTGGTTTCAAAATACCATGACACAGATTATTAGTACTCTTCCTACACTGCGTGGATAAAATGCCCATGCTAAAACATTCCTTATTGAAAGTTGTTGACCACTTTCTCCTTATCTTATAAAGATCCTGCAACTATTCATGGTTATGAAGGTTCGCTTCCTTGATCATTTCAGCTCATGCCTCCTCAAATATTTCCTTAGAATCACACTTTCTCAAACACTTATAGAAGAGTCCTCTAACTTGATTGTTGCTATTGAAGATAGGTACTTTTGATGAAACCTTTTTAAAGATGTGTCATTGATATAATCTATGACGAGTGTGAGGTAATGCATCTTCTATGACCCTAGTCATAGCTTGGTCCTGATCAATGAATATTGTTGATGGATGATTATTATCAATTCTTTGAATAAATATTTTAAACAATCATGTAAAACTTTCAATTATTTCTTCTGACAAAAAAGCAACCTCTAATAAAATATTCTATCAATGATTGTTAACACTAACAAATATTGCACATATATAATTATACTTGTTGAGCATGTAGCTAGTATCAAAAATCAAGATATCTCTAAAACATTCAAAATCTAATCATGTCTATCCCATTAACCCATAAAAAGTTTAATAATCTATCATGCTCATCAATTTGAACATCTCATACGAACATGTGGTCCTCAAGTTATCAATTTTTAAATAGTTGAATCAAAGAATTAGTGTCAAAATATTCAATCTTTGCTCTTTTCTCCTTCTGAATAAAATTGTAGGCATCTCTCTTAGAGAATCCAACATTCTCGTATCATCTGACTTCCTCTGTAAGGTAGGTGTGTGCATCAACGGTTTTAATCCCTACATATGTCATTGATTTAAGAACGGAAGCTTTTTCCTCAACAACATTTCTACATTTTCTCAGACGGTGTCGGTCGGTTGGACTAACCAATTTATGGTTGTGGGATTCAATAAATCTTTTGATATGCTAATAACTATCTTCATCAACTGCAAACCTCATCATAGATGGACAACCGGTTCTAACATCTAGTTTAGTAAATTTCTTTTTTGAATTCAGATCAATACTTTTTCTTGAAACCAGCTTTTGACATACAAAGTCCTTGGATTTTATCTTCTTAGAATTTAGCCAGAAATTGTGATGATCCTTCCGGATACTAAAGCCATTATCATGGGCATAAATACAATAACATTCATATGTTTCTCTCTCATCTTTATACACAGCATGAAATAAGAAGCAAAGATAATAAAGAGCAACAAAGGCATATATAAAGTGCAACAAAAGTGCACATAAAGCGCATTTAAAACGCATTAGAAGCGCACGTAAAGCACACGTAAAGTGCATCATCCTTATCTTTACATACCCTAAAAATCATAATGTTATTCAGCTTAAGTAAATTAAAACATTAATTAGAGCTGAACAACAACATCTAAGAGCTTTTTTTTTTTCATCTAAACTCTATAATGTCCTTCTAAGACCCTGAGCCTTTAATGAGTTGAGACATGCTGAACAATTAATGTCATGTTTCTACACAGCTTTGTTTTATATTGCAAGTATATTAGTAATATAATTTGAGATGAGATTGAAACTTACCGATATGTTGAAACCTGTGGAAGTTCCAGCTATATTGATTTCCGATTCATGCATCTCTTTAGATTCATGCAACCCTTTCCCCCCGAAGAGCATTCCATCTCTTTTCTACTATTTTCTAACTCGTTTTTTCTTGAGTAGCCAGCAAAAGCAATAAATATTTAGATCTTTGACCAGAAGATAGTGCCAATCCTACGTTTAAAATAAAAAAATAAAAAATAGTGAACCAGGTCAGATTGGGTCGGGATGATATAAATTAAATTAAAAAGTTATATTAAAAAAATCTTCATCCACATGTAACGTTTTATTGACGTTGGAACGCAGAGTCCGGTCCGGACCTAATAATATTCCCTGAACACACCCAGCAGTGTCACGACAGCCAAACCCTGCCCCAACAGCACGACGATCATGGCCAAGAAGCCGATGAAAAAGCGGCCTCCTCCACCTCCACCGTCCTTCAGCACCTCATCGGACGAGGAGGCTCCTTCTCCATCGATTTTTCTTGTGAAGAAGCTCACCGCTAGCACCTCTTTAAAACCCGCCGATGGTGAACAAGAGGAGGAATCATTTGAGGATTCCAAGTATGCCGCTCCAAAACGCAGCCATCAGGCAGCGCCACAAGTTTCTCGCAACACCGGTAAGAACTCTTCTGACACGTCCGCTTAGAAGGCAAATTATTCTCCAGTTACTAACTATAATGACTCCACCCTCTTGCGTACCCAGCAAATGACCTAAAATTAGAGAAGCCCTCGGCAGCGAACAAAACAGCAAGAACCGTGAGCTTGGCCGAGGACGATGAATCATCTGAGGGTGAAGAAGAAGAGTCCACGGATGAGGAATCATCCGAGGATTCCGAAAATGCTGTTCGAGAACCCAACCCTCAAACACAGCGACGAGATTCCCAAACCGCTAATGATGGTAAGCATGAACTTTCCAACACCTCTTCGTCATCCGATTCAGGCGCAGAGGACGGAGAAGAAGACAGCAAGGAGTTAAATTCCAGATTTAAATTGGAGCAGCTGCTGCCTCCCCCTCCACCCAAACCAGCTAGAAACGCTGTAAATCCAGTTGTTGATCCTCTATTGAAGAAACCCAATTCCGAAAAATCTGTTGATGGTGGAGAAGATGACAAGGGCCTTGAGAGTGAAGAAGAAGAAGAAGAAGAAGAATCCACAGCAAATGAATCATCTGAGGGTTTTGGGAATACCATGGCAAAAGAAAATGCTGGGCCGCAGCAGCCGCGAGACTCTCAAAACTTGTATGATGATAAGCAAGCTTCCGACACCCCTTCCTCCTCTGGTTCAGGCTTAGGAGATGATGAAGAAGATATTGAAACCCCAATTTCTGACGCCTTGTTGGTGCCGCTCAGTTGCAAACCCGTAGACAGCTCTGTGCAGCCTGCAGAGAAGGAACCCAATTCTGGGAAACAATCTGCCGCCTCCGCTACCCAAATTTCAAAGAAAAAGAGGACTGCAGATATAGTTGGAGTAGTGGGAGATCAAGAAAAGGAGCATTTCAGGAGGATTTGGAGCAATGAAGATGAGCTAGCCTTGCTGCAAGGCATTATGGAATACAAAGAGCAACATCGTATCATCCCGTATACTCATACGCATGCGGAGTCCCTTCTAAAATCTGTGAAGGATTTATTATCCATCTCTGTCTCTGTGAACCAGATAAATAATAAGGTCCGCAGGTTGAAGAGGAGATATATAAATACTTCTATCAGACAAAATCTTGCTAAAAAATCAAAATTTTCAGATCCTCACAATGCTGCTGCTTTTGATCTGTCGAAGAAGATATGGGATTCTCTCAAGGAGGAATCTATTTTTCTTGAGAAGAAGATCATGCTAGAGAAAAAGGAGAACTTTAATAAGAAGAAAGTAGGGTTAAAGCATATTGAAGAGGAATATCCTTCTCTGAATTGGCATTTGAGGAATGAGCATGCGAATAATGCACTGCTATTGCAAAAAAATATGCCTATTGCAAACGCAAAAAAGTGGGAGGAAAGGTGTAAGAAGTTGGAAATGATAGATTTTGAGCTGAACATGCAAAAAATAGAGTTCTTATCTGCAGCAGTGAAGCTAATCAAGGACGCCCTTGCCAAGTGTTGACAATGGTGGTATCATACGTCTTTTTTACTCTTTTTTTTTTTTTTGTATCTTTTGATCTGGTAAAGGTTAATTTTTTATCTTTATCGCTCCTATTCAGAAAAAATTAGAGTTTTACTTGTATTAGTGTTAGATTTGATTGATTTCTCTGCTCTCCTAGTAATTATAACTGTGTACCATCATAGCATCCAACATTCTAGGTTCTAGGTAATTATAAAGATAATTATGATGCTTAGAATAACATCTTTGAGAGTATACCTATTCAATTTGAAGATATAAGGACTAAAGTGTAAGGAAAAGTGAGAGGAGGCATGTAGACAAAAGATGGAGCACTCTCGTTCGGAAGACTTGTAATTCTGTTCATTTTCTCTTAGTTAAATGTTATACGTGGAGCACTTGGTTCTACATGTATTTTGTTCTACTTATAGTTCTTTTTTAATTTGATTGGGTTCTCAATGAGCTCGTTATTTACATTTAATTATATTTAGATTTGTTTGTGTTAGCCATAGATTACATCGTTGACATGCTTGCAACTTTATATAGAGTAAATTGAATATTTTCTTATATTAGAGAATTTAGGAGTTGAAGGTAAACTTGAATTATGGAGGTCAACCTTAGAGTCTAAAGGTTTTCGTTTGAGTAGACCTAAAATTGAATACATGGAGTGTAATTTTAGTAGTAATAGATTTAGTGGGGGTTGTGGCTTTTCAGATATCTTGGGTCTATTGTTCAGAGTGATGGTGAAATAGATGGGGGTATTATTAGTAGAATTCAAGTTGTATTTATGAAGTGGAAGAATGTATCGGGTTTGTTGTGTGATGGAAAAGTATCACTCAAACTTAAGGGAATTTCTATAAGATGGTCGTTAGACTTACAATGCTTTATGGCGTAAAATATTGGCCATTAAAAGAGAAGCATAATATTAAGTTAAGTGTTGCATAGATGAGGATGCTTAGGTGGATAAGTGGTTTTACTCTTAGAGATAGGGTACGAAATGAGCATATACGTCAAAAGGTTATAGTAGCTCCAATGGCAGTTAAGATTAAAGATAGTCGCCTTAGATGGTTTGGTCACATAAAACGGCTGTCTTCCGATGACCCAGTTAGGAGAGTAGATATATTAGATTTAACCTATGTTAAAAAAGTTAGAGGTAGACCTTAAAAAGCTTGGTTAGAAAATATTGGAAATGACCTTTCTTTATTAGATCTAAATGAGAATTTGACTTAATCGGACACAATGGAGAAAAAGGATTCATGTAGCCGACCTCATGTAGTGAGATAAAGGCTTGTTGTTGTTGTTGTTGTATTAGAGAATTTAGGATATAAACTAACGAAATTTGTGGAATTCTCCATAATTAGCTTGTTTTGTGATTAACAACTATCTTTGATTCAATGTTTGTATAGCAAAACTTTTAGCATATTTTTTGGTAAGTTTTATGTTGACATGAAGTTTCATTTTATGCATTAGTTCTGCTACATTTTGTATTGGGTAAGGTTCTTGCACTCATCCAAGTCTTCCTTTCGTCATTTTAATTCTATCTAGTCCGTTCAAGCTCTATTTAAATTCCTACAACACTCACTTTACATAAAAAAATAATAATAAATGAATTAAAATTGCAATGTAGGCTTAATATACATAAATCATTATTAGAGTTAGATTTAGGCTCTAATCATTTTTAATATTACCCCTGATTCATATTAATATCTTCTTTAACTTTGTTTTAAAAATATATTAAATTTTGTATATGATTCTTTTTAAAAATTAAGTAGAACATGCGTAAGTTGTAATTTAGTATTGCTTGGTTAAATCAAAATAGTTTTCTCCACACTTCAAATCAAAATTTTTTCTTAATAATTTTTTTATAAGCATTATAACATTCTTTTATCTTGCAAATATGAAAGATAGATCTAAATTTAGCTGTAAAGATTTATTTACATACCTTAATCAGTGAAACAATAGTATTTTTAAACTTGATGGGCTTGTTTCCTTCGAAAACCTAGCTTCCTTAATATTTCTCTTATCTTCTTTCCTGTGGCAAAAATCCTAAGCTCCTCCCTTTTTTCTCTATTTGTTATTCTCTTTCGTACTCACCTTGTGCTATGTAACAGATGCTTAAATTATATGGTATATCCATTGTTTAAAATTGTGCAATATAAGGCTCGCCTTGAGGCCCACCTTCCACCTTTGCGCAATTCCAGTGAAAAATGCCTATGCCTCAATTTTTTTTTATGAGGCTTGCGCCTCAACTTGGTTGAGGCCCGCCTTGAGGCGCGCCTCGCCTCACTGTCATAAGGCTTACGCCTCACCCTATATATATGTCATTGATCACTTGAAAGCTGCTCACCATCATCACCTCTAAAAATTTTAGAGTATTAATCTCATCTGTATGTTAATGAAAAATATTTATGAAAGATGAAGATGTCTGAAATAAATGAAGAAGAAACATATTGGGAGGCATTGGACTCCACAAGATGAGACAGGGGAGAGATCCATTTGTTATAATAATGACTCAAATAAACATTCCCTCAGTGATGACAATATAAATGATTTTCTAATTATTGTCAACTTTTCAATCTTTTTTAAAAATTAAATGTATATGAGTAGGTAACTGAGAAAAAAAGAATTTGAAGTTGAACTTAATATTATATGATACTTTTATTTAGTCTTCATATTTAATAATTTTTGCATATGAAATATTTGTATTAATTATATTTCATGCGATAGAGCATTCCGCCGTTTGTTAGGGTTTGGCGATTTTCATTTTGCCTGGCACCCTGCCTCTCAGTGCTCCTCCGCTGCCACCATTGGGGGATCCTATGGATCCCTCCCTCTACTCCGCTTCTTTTCCCCCTCTCCCCAACTCATCTTCTACACCTAATCCCCCTGGAACCTCTTTCCCTCTACCTTGGGATCGTGTTTTTTCAAATCCCCCGGATACCTGTGAGTTCAATATCTCTTCCTTACCCACCCTGGAGGAAATCATCGATTTTCCTACTATAGACATTGCTGGAGCTGTTGAGAAATGGAACCTTTCTTTGGCTGGTTACTCTCTTGGTAAGAGACCGTTCTATGAGGCTCTTCTCAACGCTGTTAAAAAATTGTGGAATCTCAAAGGTAATATCAAACTGGTTTCTCTTAGTGAAGGTTTCTTCCTTTTCAAATTCTCTTGTGCTGATGATTATGAGATGGTTTGGACAAAAGGCGTGTGGTTCATTTATCGAAAACCATTTATTTTTAAGAAATGGACTTCTCACTTCAGCCCTGAAAGAGATGAGTATTCTAATGTTCCTATATGGTTTAAGATCCATGATTTACCGTTGTGTTGTTGGACCCCTGTGGGTATCTCAAAAAATTCCACTAAAATCGGAATTCCGTTAGTTGTCGATGCTCTCACTACATCCAAATCCGGGCTGACATATGCATGTGTTTGTGTTCAAGTTGACTCCTCTGCAACCTACCCAGCTATCGTCCCTATTACGGTTGAAGGGAAACTCTTCAACCTGAGAATTCAATACGAATGACGCCCTTCGATTTGCAACATCTGCAAATCCTTCAACCATCAAACTTGTTCTTGCCCGACCAATCCAAATCCTACCCCTTCTCTTCCTCCTACTGGCCTTCATGGAAGCAGTTCTAGCCGTCATCCAGACCTCCAAAAAACCCAATAGGTGTTCTCCTAATCCCCAATACTTCCTCTGAACCTCCCCCTGACACTACTCAGGTTAGTGCTCCTCCCCCAGTTAACGTCGATATTCACTCGTCAAACCCCTGTTGTTCTCATTGAACCGGTAAAAGCTCTCACTAAACCGGTGCTTACACCTCAAAACCCCTCCCCCACAGAGCCTGCTACCCTACCAGAATCTCCGCCTACTGCTCCAACTCAAATTATCGCTGACACTTCTCATCCTCTGTCTGCTCCAGTGACAATTCCCAACCTCAATTCTCCTACACTGCCAGCCTCCTCTTCCTCCGAATCCCCCCCTCCTCCCCTCATTCCACCCCCACCGAAAATGCTTTCTACAAACAAATTCTCTATCTTACAATCCCTCTCAGATTCTGAAATGGTTTCCATCAATGAAACTGAGGACCGGCCACTTCATTCTGAACCGGGAAGCTCATCCCCCATTTCTAGTTCCAAGCCTAATATCTCCCATCCAAATTCTGCCATTCAGTCTCAAAGAAACACTAGAGGGAAGGGCGCCAAGAAAGGCCCTAAGCCTAACAAAAAATAACCCATGTCTCATCCTAATATTGTGGTTTGGAACATCAGGGGATTCAACAACCCTGATAAAGTTTTAAGTTGTAAAAAAATTGGTCATGGACCATGACATTGACATTTTTTGTCTCTTAGACATTCTTCAACACAATCTTGAAGATCCATGGTTTTGTTTAACTTGCAAGATTTTTGACAATGAACTGAGTTGTTATAACTTTCACACTACTTCTCCTGGTCGGATTTGGATTAAGTGGAATGCCAGTAAGATCTCCTTCTCTCCCACCTTTTTCTCCAAGCAGGATATTGCTGGTTTAGTTTACAGTGGGAACCTTCCTCCCTTCCTTATTTTTGTGGTTTATGCTTCTAATAATTTTGAGGAACGTAATATCCCTGGGACGAGCTTAGAAAAATTTCTCCTAATAATGGCTTGGCTTGGGCTGTGTTAGGGGATTACAATTGCAGCAGGTTCCCCTCTGAAAAGTCAGGTGTGAATGCTTTAAATTCTTCAAGACTGGCTCTTCTAAACTCTCTTATTTTTTATACTCATCTTGCGGATCTACCGTTTTCTATTTGGTTTAATCAAAGGATTGACAACCCCATACATTTAAAGCTTGATCGTGTGCTCATTAATGAATCTTGGATTTCTGCTTATCCTCACTCTTTTTATAAAATTTGTAATAGCTTGGTTTCTAATCACACGCCGCTTATCCTCAAAGCAAATTTGGAGAGAACTACTAGCAAAAGATTTATGTTAAAAAACTTCTGGTGCAAGATCCCGAAATTTTGGGATATTCTCATCACTGTTTTTGCCACCCCTTTTCAAGGTAACCCTATTAGCTACCTACATAAGCTAAATCTCTTGAAGCAAGAAATCAAGTACAAGAGATGGGTTAACTCTAGTCATTTAGAGTCCAAATGTGTTGAACTCTCCTCTTTGCAAACCCAATATCAAGTAAAAGTTGACGCTGATCCCCTCAATGTCAATCTTTGTGGACTCCTAAAGAAGATTAATTTGGATTATGCATACTACAACTCTTTGTGGGCTAATTGGATCATTCAAAGATCCAAAGTCAAGTGGATAAGAAATGGAGAGGAAGATCTTAAATTTCTTTTTTCAAGGGTTCAAAGAAGAAAATCACAAAATTTGAGTATATTATGTTCTTCTTTTTGCAACAATGATCAGACTCAAGC